TGGTGGGTTTACTTCATAATAATTAATTGAACTGTTACACATAGGATCTGTCCACTTTTCTGAATGTATTCAGAATTTAAATTTTTACTTAAAAAAAGTACTCTGGGGGTGCCTGGGTGGCTCAGTCGGTTAAGCGTCTGCCCTCAGCTCAGGTCATGATCTCAGGGTCCTGGGATGGAGCCCCACATCAGGCTCCTTGCTCAGCAGGGAGTCTGCATCTCCCACTCCCTTTGTACCCCCCACCCACTGCTCATGCTTTCTCTTTCTCTCAAATAAATAAAAAAAAATTTTTTAAAGATTTTATTTATTTATTTGTCAGAGAGAGACAGCGAGAGGGAACACAAGCAGGGGGAGTGGGAGAGGGAGAAGCAGGCTTCCTGCGGAGCAGGGAGCCTGATGCGGGGCTCGATCCCAGGACACTGGGATCATGACCTGAGCCGAAGGCAGACACTTAACGACCTGAGCCACCCAGGCACCCCTCAAATAAATAAAATCTTAAAAAAAAAAAAGTACTCTGGGGAGTCCACAGGCCCTAGAAAGCCCATTTCTTCCTGGCCTCTCCTGCCAGTCTCCATACCACAGCCTGAGTGACACTTCCAACGTACAAAATCTAATTTTGTCACTTCATATGTCCCTATTTTTCTTTTTAAAAGATTTTATTTATTTATTTGACAGAGAGAGAGACAGTGAGAGAGGGAACACAAACAGGGGGAGTGGGCGAGGAAGAAACAAGTTTGCCACCGAGCAGGGAGCCCGATGCGGGGCTCAATCCCAGGACCCTGAGATCATGACCTGAGCTGAAGGCAGCTGCTCAACAACTGAGCCACCCAGGCGCCCCTCACATGTCCCTATTGCCCTCAGAATCAAGTTCTAAGATCCTCTATGATTCCCTCACACTCAGCTCCAGGATGGCCCAAGAAACACTCTCTGGCTTCCCAAGCTCTCTATAATGTTCCAGATCTACAAAGAGGAGAAATCTCTCCTGGCTTCTGGCTAACCACCATTTTCCAGATCTCAGCTCAGGTTATCACTCCCAGGGAAATTTCTGACTACCCAAAACCAGCTCTGGAACAACAAACAGAAGTCAGGAAGTACCATGTGCTTCTTTATTACAACACTCATTCCACTCTCTTGTAGCTGTATTTGTCTGTCTCTTGTAGGATGTGAGTTGCTTTGAGGCCTGGCACAATGTCTGTGACCTGTCTTTATTTTCCTCAATGCCTAGTGGCTGGTAGGTGCTCCAGGAAAAGATTTAGGGAGAAAGTGATCTTGGAAGTGGCTGTAAGGATTCAGACATCGGAGACTGAGAATGGACATTTCAGGCATAAGACATGGGAATAAGAAGATTCAGAGGAGGGAAGATATGAGCACATTTGGAGAACCTAGAATGTTAATCTGAGTGAGGCCAAAGCTACTTATGGAAGAAGAAACAATGTTTAAAGATCAGTTTGGCATAGGCAGGAAGAACTTGAATGCTAAGACTTTGATCTGAGGGCAGTGGGGAGCCACTGAAGGTTTTTGAGCAGGGTTGTGACATGATCAGAGTTCTATTATGGCCATATAAATATGGTGGGATGGATAAAGGCTAGATTGGAAGAAGAAAAATTAACTTTGGAAAGTTCAAGGAAAAAACAACTTTGATGGTCTAGGTAAAAGGAATGGAAGAACAAGAATCAAGTCAAGGAAGATTTCCCAGGTAATAACAAATCAGAAAGGCTGCAAGGTAATAGAAAGTCTCAGGAGAGGAAGGCAGGGAAAAGGCTTGGATTTCAGCCCATATTAAATCCTGGTGGGCCTTGGAGCTGATCATTTCCTCCTGTTGGTCACTCAGAGCCCTCCGCTCTAAAACCTGGCCGATGGGAGACAGGGAAGAGACCATGAGTGTGAAAGTGCTTGGAAATCTGTAATGTGTGTGGGATTGTAGCTGAGAGAGGGTGAGGAGTCAAAGATGTGTCTGGTGACTAGGACCACAGTGACTGGGGGCATAGGAGGAGTAACTGGGGGAGAGGATAGGGAGGGAAATGATGGGTGAACATACTCATTTCTTTAGTCTTGGCTTCTATTTAGAAAAACCCTTGAGAAGGTTTCCAGGGACTAGCACTCTGTACCACAGAATGGCTTGTTTGTGGGCTGGTGCCTTAGCCCTGCCCCAGCCACTGGAGGCTCCCCTGTCCATGTTCTGGTCTGAAACAGGCACTGGGGGGAATGCTGAACTGAACTAGGACATGGTCCCAAACATGGGCTTTTAAAAATCTACTTGGAGGGGAGAGACTAAGTGACAACAATGAAAGGTGGCACAGGATTAAAAACCAAGAAGGGAGAAAGTCTACTTAGAGACAGGAAGAATAGAGAGGTTTCCTAAAGGAGTTGGGACAAAGGCTCGGGTGAGGTTTGGGAAGCATTGCAAAGAAAGGAACGGCCTGAGCAAAGGCCTCGAAGTGGGAATGCTCATGGCACATTTAAGACATGGATGAAATAGCAGGAAATCAAGCTAGGGAAGTCACTGAGGGGCCAGTGACCAAGGGCCTTCAAGCCTAGGCCAAATGTTTGGGACTTTATTTTAATAGGCAAAGGGAAACCATTTAACATTTTGTGGCAAAGAAGTGTCATACTATATCTCGGGAGGAAAGCTTTGGCTGCTGCTGCTGTGTGTGTAGGATGGGTTAGTGGGGAAAAGCCAAAAGGTAGGGAACCCTACAAGGGGGCTTCTAAAATAATCCTGATGTTAAAGGTCTGAAAGCAGTGGGAAGAGGAAGGAAGGGATACAATTTGGGTTATCTTGGGAAAAAAGAATTGACAGGTCTTGATGATGTATCACTTATATGGAGCAGAGAGAAAGAGGATGATCTTCAGTTCTCTAGCCCAAAAAATGATGTTTCTGTAAAAGTTTATAATTTTGTTTTTAATAAAGGACATTTATTCAGAAGACACATTAAGCTTAACAGAATAGATGAAGTAAATATAAGCTACTCTGAGTAATTTAATGTGGACTATTAGTTATAACTCAGAAAAGAAATCTTTGTCAATTCTTCCCTGTAGTCACCCAATGTTCTCTTGGGGACAAAAAGGCTAACAAATACTGACTCTCTTGAGGAAGGATTTTGGAATGAGACAGCAAGACACTGACTTATTCTTGTATAAAATCCCAATGCATCCTCACTGTGCCCTAAGCCTCCCAAAATATACAGTAAGGAACTACATAAGGTCCAGAGAAAGGCAACTCAAATAACAAAGGACAGAATGGACCAATGATGATCCCCCTTTCCTGTCCAGCTCAAGGGTCACAAAGAGGACATGAACACGAGACTGCAGAAGGTGTAAGATTTATTATAGCTTACATTACACAGCACTCGTCAGTTTAAAATGTCAATTTTCGGCCCATTAGTCATTCAACAAACCTGAACACCCTATTCTCAGTACTCTGCGAGAAGGGCACAGAGATGGAGGAGGCCCGGCTTGCTCACTGTCTAATTTGATCTTTATAACATTGTATACCCTTATTCCTACCTGACAACTAAAGGAACTAGGGTTGAACTGTGGTTAAACATGGAGGCTCACGGCTGGGGTACTTTGAGCAAGTTACTTAAGCTTTGTAAGGTTCAGTTTCCTTAAAGGAAAAAGGGAATAGTAATATCTACCTCGTGAGGTTTTGAAGATTAAGTGTTGTCAAAAGGTCAGAAATAGCAGAAGTAAAACCACTGCATGACAGAAATAGTAATTAGCAAAAGTTAATCATGTACAAAAAATAGTTTGCAAACTGGAACCACTCAAACTGAACGTGGGATGAGAGGTTCAGAGGTATATTGCCATGGAGCAGTTCATATTGTGAGGAGGCAGTGGCTTTTTACTCTTCAGATCAGTTAGATTATTAGAGTTTTCCTAGTGATAGGGATGGGTCACAAGTAGTTACTTCACATCCATTTTGAGAACACTTTAAGTTTCCTTTTTGATTTTCAGAGGCATTAACAAGAAGTGGCCCAAATTAAGTTTTGCTTATTTTACAGAACAAGCTGAATTAAGATTTGCTTATAGGACTAAACTGGTTTGCTTGCTCAGGAAATTTTCAAGTCTGGTCTCCATTTGTGTTTATTGATTTTAACAGTGTGAAAGTACATAATAGTGCTTAACTTGATGCCTGATATAAAGTAAGAATTCATTTAGCCATCGTTATTAACCAGTGTGCAAAGCATCTATAATATATGATTACTTACCCCATTTCCTCCTCGTCCTCCCTCTAAACTTCACAGGGACTCTGCGTCTCTTTAACCCTGAGCAAACCCTCCTAACAACCTTCTATCCCATCTTTTTTTTTTTTTTTTTAGATTTTATTTATTTATTTGAGAGAGAGAGAATGAGAGAGAGCACATGAGAAGGGGGAAGGTCAGAGGGAGAAACAGACTCCCTGCCGAGCAGGAAGCCCGATGCGGGACTCGATCCCGGGACTCCAGGATCATGACCTGAGCCGAAGGCAGTCGCTTAACCAACTGAGCCACCCAGGCGCCCCCTTCTATCCCATCTATCCCAGCCGGTCACTCTGAGCCCTGCTTGAGCCCTCATCTCTTTGATCTTCATTCTCCTTTAGCTCTCTTTCCTTCTCATTTTCTTCCTGGCCCTTCTCCTTCCTCTCTCCCAGACTCTTTGTGGAGTCTGGAGGCTCGGGTTTGCTCTATGACTATGGACAAATGAACAAGTCATTTCACTGCTGGGTCTCAGTTTTCACAACTGAACAGTGGGAACAATAATATCTACTTTACAGGGTTGCTTTGTGGAGTAGATAAGAATAAAGTGTAGTGCTACGTAAATTGTACAGGGCCTTACAAAGGTCAGAGACTGGCAACTCATTTCCATTTCCTTTCAGCTCCTTGCCCTTTTGTGGAACTAGGAAATTATCCCAACTGAAAGTTAGGATATTAACTCCAATCGGAGTGCAGATTTGCTGGTTGTTCCCGCCTTCCACGCCTAAGCGAACCAATCAGAGCGTCCGGAGAGTGTCGCGGACTCTTCACCTGGAGACCACCTCTACAATGGAGCTTGCGCTTTTCTCCGTCCTTGCAGCCAGCTTGTTCTCGCCTCGCGTCCCGGTTTCTCGGCCTTGGAAGGGAGATTCTTCTTCTTCCTCGTCTCTGCCCCCCAAGATCTTGGCATCGCAAAGGTTGAACGACGAAGACCGGAAGTGTGCGCAGCAGCGGAGGGTCCCCACGAACCGACACCGGAAGTAGCTTTGCTGCCGCATTCGGTCGGCTGCGCTATGGCGGCGATCCCCCCAGACTCCTGGCAGCCGCCCAACGTATACTTGGAGACCAGGTGAGAGGGGTCGGGCCTCTAGGGCTGGGCTGGCGGAGGCGACGCGGAGCCCGGGCTTTGCCGCGGGGCTGGGTTCCCGGTGCGCTCCCCCGGGAGCACGGCCTCCTCGTGGGCAAGCGTGCAGCGGCGGCCTTGGGGGCCGCCTGGGGGCTGAATGGGGGCCGCCACCGTCCGCGTCCGCGCTCCGCACCGGCTCGCCCTGAAACCTCAGCGACAGCTGCCCAGTTGCCCTCCTCGCACCCCGTGGTTCATTCATCTATTCATTCGACAAGCATGTGTTGATTCTACAAGCAGGCGACGTCGGGTCTGGAATCAGGATAGAGGTGCATAAGACACACTGCCTTGCATTTAGGACCTTGCAGTGTAGTGAAAGGGGCAGGTCTGTAACTACTAAAGTTGTAAGTAGTTAGTTGTATAAACAAATTACTAGGAAGGCACCGGAAGAACCGCATTTCCCCACCATCAAAGAGCGGTATCATTGAGCACCAATCAGCTAGTGCCATGCGCCTGACGTACAGCCTCTCATTTAGTTTAAGCCACTTAGCAACTCAAATCATGTAGGTGTTATTCCACTTTCTCTCCCATTTTAGCAGGGGAAATGACAGAACTTACGAATTAAATGATTTGACCAAACCCATATATCTAGTAAGGGACATTTAAATTGCCTCTTGTTTTTTGTTATGACAAATACTGGGATAAATACCCTTACACATACTGTATCCTTAGGCACATTTGTAAGTTTTGCTATAGAACACTTTAAAGTTGAAATTGCTGTCAACAGGTGTGCAGATTTCACAATTGTATAGGTATTTCCTGACTGCCATTCCAAAAATATTCCCTGTATTTAAAAAATATGCACCAGAATATAAGCTCCATGAGGGGAAAAGCACCTAGAACCGTGCCTTGCACAGAGTAGGTGTTAATCCCTGTTGAAAGTTAGTAGTGTGAAGGATGAATTGCTGGTAGAAAGGCTTTTAGAAAGCTATGTTCTAGCACATATGAGATTTATTTATTTATTTATTTATAGAATGCTTACACTGTACTTGGCACTGGGTATCCAGGCTATACAGAGTTGCCTCAATTTTCATATTCTTGGAGCTTAAAATCTAGGTGAGTGATGGAGTGGAGGGGAAGGCACCTGTCTGTATTTTACTTTTTCCTTTTCCTTAGCTGTATTTCAGGGGGAAAAGTGCTCATCCCATTTGGTAGTATAGAGATTTGAAGTAATCAGGTTTTGCATTTGTTGTGCCCCTCCTAAATACACACAAAGTGTACTTTTTTTTTTCCATTAAAATTTTTACAAATAGGTAATATATTTACAAGGTTCAAAAATACAAAAGTTTAAAAAAAGATACTCATTGAAAGCCTTCCTGCTTCCCATTTACCCAGTTTCTACCCCCACCCAGAAACTCAGGCATGTATAAATAAGTACAGATTCCTGATATGTTAATGTCCTCCTTTAAAAAAATATCAAATTAACTGCAATTTTTTTCCTAATTTAAGGGTTGGTTATATGGGTCTCCCACGATCGGTGATTTTTTTTTTTAATATATAAAGCTCATTCGAATTTTTAGTCGTCCACAATTATTTTGTTTAAAAGAAGTACCAGAAGCTCCTGTGTGTTTTACTCAAAGAAGGTATCTGTGTTTATGTTATTTACATTGTGATTGTGATGTTTTCCTTGGCCGAGCATGAAATCTGATGTGTATTACAATTTCATGAGTTAATGTAAGCTTGAAAATAAAGAGTGCTGGATCAATCCCATAATATTCCTGCTGCTGCGACCTTGTTCTTGACTGGAGCTCTACTGTCCTCTCCCCCTGCAGCATGGGGATCATTGTGCTGGAGTTATACTGGAAGCATGCTCCCAAGACCTGTAAAAATTTTGCTGAGTTGGCACGTCGAGGTTACTACAATGGCACCAAATTCCACAGGATCATCAAAGACTTCATGATCCAGGGAGGTGACCCAACAGGGACAGGTATAGTTAAGCCGACCTTGGCTGAATTCAGCAAAATAGGGAAGGCTGACAGAGGAACACGTGTAGAGGGGAAAAATCAAGAATTTGGTTTTGGTTTTGGACACATTCCATTTGAAATACTTGTCAGATCTTCAATTAGAGGTGTTGAATAAGTAAAGGGATACGAGTGTGGAGTTCATGGAAAGGTCTGGGATGGAGGTACAAATTTGGGAGTTACTGTCATTTAGCTGGGATTTATTAGTGAAATCGGTGGATGCTAACGTTAGTTTCAAAACCCCTTGCTTCTTGGTCTGCATCTTCTCTCTGATTCCTGCTCCTGCTTTTTTGCCTTTAAATAAGTTTGATATCCTCTGTGGCTGTCTTTTTTCTTAGTCCTGTTCTTCTTTGTCATTCTCAGTTCTCTGTTTATCCTTTATGACCAGAGGCATTCAATTTCTTTAATGTGTGTGGACACATGTAAAAAGTACAGTATAGGGGCGCCTGCGTGGCTCAGTCGGTAGACTTGATTTCGACTCAGGTCATGATCTCCGGGTCATGAGATTGAGCCTTGTGTGAGCTGTGCGTTCTGCGTGGAAATTCTCTGTCTCCCTCTGCCCCTCCCCCTGCTTGAGCACTCTCTCAAAATAAATAAATAAAATCTTTTTAAAAAATACAGTATATATAAGAAACTACAAAAAAGAATGCTCATAAGTATACTTCCTAAAGATTTCTAACCACTATTAGTGATTAATTATCCCTGCAACATTCCCACTTCTTAGAAACGACTAATGTTAACTGTTGGTGGCCATTATTCTAGACATTTTTCTTTTCAGATACCTATTCAAAAGGATGGATGGATAGATGGACGAATGGATAACTAGCTAAATGGAAATAATTTTAAGAGAATAGGCTGTGTCATGCATGCTATTTTTTTAAAACAAAAAAAATTTTAATTTTATATATATAACCAAAAAATTGATTTCCTGCTATGTAAGGTGAGGCAATTAGTACTTAAATTTCTACCCATTCCTATTGTTTAGGAAAAACTCCATTTTTCCTGCCTTCTGTGTTGGGAAAAACTTAGATCTTCCCTTCTGTGTTTTTCTCCTGCATGTCACCTTTACTACTCACACAGATCACTTTGCTTCTAACCCTCCTGGTCACCAAATGTATGGGGGTTTACCCCCCACAAGCAATTCTGTGACACCAAGTGAGTGTCTTACTATTATATCTAACTAGAGATAGCATCAGATCCCACAGGTTAAGGCCCAGTCCCACAAGATTGCCCCTTGCCCCACTTCAGTCCCAAGCCTAGGTTATCACATGTTCCAATAACCCCCCCCCTTAATTTGCCAGAGCAGCTCACAGAACTCGTGGAAACAGTTTACCAGTTTACTAAGGGATATGGTAAAGGATACAGATGAACAATCAGATGAAGAGATGAATAAGGTAAGGTTTGTGAGGGTCCTGAGGGCAGGAGCTTCTGTTCCTGTGGATTTGGGTGCATCATCTTCCTGGAAGGGATGTGTTTGCCCACCTGGAAGCTCTCTGAACCTTGTACTCTTGGGATTTTTGAGCAGGCTTCTTCATGTAGGCATGATCAATCATTACCTCCATTTCCAGCTCCTCTCCTCTCTCTGGAGAAGCAGGGGTGGGGAATGGGGGACCTGGTGGGGACTGAAAATTCCAAGCTTTTAATCATGGCTTGGTCTTTCTGGTGACCAGTCCTCATCCAGGAGCCATTCAGGACCCCACCTGTCTCCTTAAAACAAAAGATGCTCCTAGTGTTCTTATCACTTAGGAATTTAAAAAGGTTTTAGAAGCCCTGTTTCAAGGACAGGTCAAAGACCAAATATTAGGGGCGCCTGGGTCGCTCAGTTGGTTAAGCGTCTGCCTTTGGCTCAGCTCATGATCCCAGGGTCCTGGAATTGAGCCCCGCATTGGTCTCCCTGCTCAGCAGGGAGCCTGCTTCTCCCTCTCCCATTCCCCCTGCTTGTGTTCCCTCTCTCGCTGTCTCTCTCTCTCTGTCAAGTAAATAAATAAAATCTTAAAAAAAAAAAAAAAGACCAAATATTAGAACAACAGATTCTCCTAGTGTTATCACTTAGGAAATTACAAGAGTTTTAGGAGCTCTGTACCGTGAGTACCGTGAACCAGGGATAGGTATATAGATATATGTAGATATATCCATATATCCATGTATCTTCTATTACCTCACACCTATACTCCCTCCCTCACTCTCAGTTTTTGTCATTAGTTTAATTTTTCCTTGTCAGAGTACATTTTCTACTCTGTGCTTGATTCCCTCAGCTACAGTATGGGTTCTGCATTTCGGAGGGTTCAGTGCCCACCACTAGACTTTTCTGTTCCCAAGTGTTGGAGGGCAGACCTTCTTATTGAATGGTTTGTATTGCAAGGGCTAGGGGGTGTTATATTTTGTAACTCAATCATGTTTGAGAATTTGAAAAAGACCATGATTGGGTCTACTGTTCTTGGGCCACACTCGTCCCCTCAGATCGGTTTAGCCAGTTCTGCTCTGTTGCCTTCTGGTTTTAAGCGTGGCTTTGGGAAATACTGAGGCCAGATTTACTCCTTCCTTCAGCTCAGGGGAAAATGTTTTGATTTGTATTTTTGAATATTTTCTCTGTTACTTGCTCTGATTTTCTATTTCAGGAAACTAGTTATTCTCTTGTTTCATGACCTCTGCCTTCCATATCTATTACATTTCTTTTGAGTGTGTGAGATGATGTTTTTCTATTTTTTCCCCGCATCCACTGAGATAATGTCAGACCTTTACTCTGTGCGTTATTCAACTTTCAATCATGTCTGTTCTGTTCTTTACTGCTCTAATTGATTCATTAGCTCCGTATTGGTGTCATGGGGCTCTCAATCTGTTTCCTTAGTCTGCAATCTTTTCACCTTATTCTGTTGATTTGTTATCTTGTCTTTGAGCTCTTGTTGTATTGGATTCTTATTTCTGTTGAAGCATCTCTAGCTTGAGACAGTTGCAGAGAAGCCCTTCTTGGACTGTGTTTTTCTCCCAGACCGAGTTCCTGAGGTGTTGTTTTGTTTTGTTTTGTTTTTGTTTGTCTTACATGCTTTCTTTTTCTCCTTCCAGTTGTGGTAATATGTTTGCACAGTTCCTGTGCCATATCTTTTCATCTCACCCATGCCTACTGTCAGCACTGATGCTGTCCGTACCTTTTATTTGCTCAGATACGGTATAAGTGGATTCTCTTTGTCATTGTCCCCACCCTTGTGGGACCATTTGTTCTCCCTAGTCCAGATGCTAGGTTGCTTTCTCTTTATTTTATTCCAGCCTGATGAGGTGGTAGGAGAGCTAATGTAGAGTGCACCTTATGGGAGGACTAGCCTCTGTTCTGTTTTCCCAGCCTCTGTTAAAGTCCTGCCCATGGGTCCCCTCCACCAGTCAGTGGTATCCCTCTCCCCCAACCCAGGAGTCCCCTGAGAATAGCTGTAGCGGAGGCAAAAGATTCTCCTACCCTTTTTCATTCATAGCTGGGTCTCTATAACAAGACAGATTGATGAGAGAAAAGAATACAAATTTGTTTGCTGGGCGACTGGGTGGCTCAGTTGGTTAAGCAACTGCCTTCGGCTCAGGTCATGATCCCAGGGTCCTGGGATCGAGTCCCGCATCGGGCTCCCTGCTCTGCGGGGAGCCTGCTTCTCCCTCTCCCACTCCCCCTGCTTGTGTTCCCTCTCTCACTGTGTCTCTCTCTGTCAAATAAATAAATAAAATCTTTAAAAAAAAAAACAAAAACAAATTTGTTTGCTGTAAGTTTTTTTTTTTTTTTTTAAGAATTTATTTGTGAGAGAGAGAGAGAAAAAGAGCACAAGCAGGGGGGGAGGGACAGAAGGAGAGGGAGAAGCAGACTCCCTGCTGAGCAGGGAGCCCGATGCCGGGACTCAATCCCGGGACCCTGGGATCATGACCCAGGCCGAAGGCAGATACTTAATCGACTGAGCTATCCAGGCGCCCCTGTTTGCTGTAAGTTTTGATGACACCACGGCCTTGATAAAAAAAATGAAGACCTGAAGAATAGGTTATACCTGAGTGTTTTTGTGCTAGGTTTGACGAACAGTGGAAATTTGTGGGAAAATGTGATAGGACGAAGGGGGTCTGAGCTAAATGTAGTAAACTGGGGAAAACAGCAAGGCCTGTTCTTTCAGATTCCTCTGGGGGTCCTTCTGTCTTAGAGATGAGATGTTCTTTTCCTGCAGGTATAGGGACGGCCCCTCTCACGTGAGGGTCTTAGGACCTACTTCAGGGGAAGGTCAGAATGTCCTTTTTTTTAAAAAAGATTTTATTTCTTTATTTGACAGAGAGAGACACAGCGAGAGAGGGAACACAAGCAGGGGGAGTGGGAGAGGGAGAAGCAGGCTTCCCACCGAGCAGGGAGCCTGATGCGGGGCTCGATCCCAGGACCCTGGGATCATGGCCCGAGCCAAAGGCAGACGCCCAACCGACTGAGCCACCCAGGCGGCCCCGAATGTCCTTCTTGTACCTGATGTTTCTCAAATTCCTTCAACTTGAAATTCAGTATGCCAAAGCACCATATTTTGGGGTAGTTTGTCCTGAACCCCATCATGGCCCAGTGCTCCCCCCCTCCTCCCAAAGTGCCAGGTGCTGGTGGCCTGTCATGTTGCTCCCAAGTGCCTCTGGTATGCACAGGCTTCTGCCATTAGGGGCTTCTCTTTAACTTTTTCAGGGTTGCTAGCCCACCCACCCTTCTATTGGCTTCTTAGAATTGGAGAGTATTTGTAAGAATCCTCTGGGTTACAATTCTTCTTTCCTGATTACTACTTTTAGAGAGTGCAGGCAGAAGAATCGCTCATTTCTTTCCTTGGTAACTCTTTTCAGAATTTTTGTAATAAGTTTGTTTCCTTTTTATTTGGTTGATGCTGGTGAATTTGGGGCTTGGAAACAAATGGAATTTTGTGTGTGTGTTTCATCGGGTATTAGGGGAGGCAGGGGCCAATCCTGCTTCACTCCACTTTTT